ATTCTCCTGCCTCAGCCTCCCCAGTAGCTGGGATTACAGGCATGCGCCACCACACCCAGCTAATTCTGTATTTTTAGTACAGATGGGGTTTCTCCATGTTGGTCAGGCTGGTCTTGAACTCCTGACCTCAGGTGATCCACCTGCCTCAGCCTCCCAAAGTGCTTGGATTACAGGTGTGAGCCACTGCACCCAGCCCAGATGACCTTTCTTACCTTAAAATTCAAGGGTTCTTTTCTTACAAGCCTTGACTGCCCTGTAGACTCCCAGTATGACATTGATAGAGCATCCTTTTGGAGACCAGGTTGCATTCCCAAAGCTATAAATACGAACATGTGTGTTCAGGCTTCCTCCTTAAATACATGTTGTCACCAAAAGCTGATTCCTGCTTTTGTGCAGAATGACTCTTGGTGGGTCTGCCACTCTGGGTGATCAGAGTCATGTCATACGCAGCCACACTACCCAAGTGACCTTCCCTGACTCCCCAGCCTTACCGCCTGTATGGGTCAAGTTACAGCCTTTGGTGAGTGGTGGCAGATAGAAGAAGCCAGTGCAGAAGGTCCTCTTTATTCCCTACTCCCTTACCTTTAGTTTTTAAAAAATTATCTCTTAAAAATCTTTGGAAAATTTTTAAAGTACTTACAGAATACCATCACGAAGCCCCACGTGTACTCATCATATATATGATTAACATTTGGCACATTTGCTTTCTGTTTTGGTTGGCTGCAGTACTGACAGTCATATTCACATTTCCCTAGTGTTGCCAATAGTCTTTTAATGCTAGTTTTGTCTCCTTGTTATTAATACTCATATAACTTTTCTCAGTGCCTTCTCTGAATCTCAGGGTACAGTTTTTGTAGACTTCTTTTTTACCTTGTGAATGTTCTTCTTTCCATCCCACTGTGGTTGCTAGCTAATGAGCTAATAACTACTGTGTTACCTTCTCATTGCCTCTGATTGCAGTTCTCTGTGCCTTCTAATGGCAGCTTCCATAAAGGAGGGCTTTTTCAGCCTGGAAACCAGAGTGTCTTAAATTCACAGTTGCCACCTAGCAGTTCTTCCTTCACAAAGGCCTGGAGCCATTTTGTTCATCCTGCAGTGCACGCTGTCCTCCTGCAGTCTTCCTGACTTTCTTGTTTCTGGTTGCAATCACAATCACAAAAAGCAGCTAAGCAATAGCAAGAGCTCACTGTATATCAAATACTTCATGGTTTTTGTTTTTTTTTCCTTTTTTGAGAGAGGGTCTTGCTCTGTTGCCCAGGGTAGAGTGCAGTGGCACAGTCTCGTCTCACTACAACTTCTGCCTCCCAGGTTCAACCCATCCTCCCCACCTCAACCTCCCAAGTATCTGGGATGACAGGTGCATGCCACCACTCTCGGGTAATTTTCTGCATTTTTTTTTTGTAGAGACGGGATTTCACCCTGTTGCCTACACTGGTTTCTAGTTCCTGGGCTCAAATGATCCTCCTCCCTTGACTTCCCAAAGTGCTGTGATTTCTGGTGTGAGCCAACATGCCCACTGTCCCAGCTATTAAATACTTTATATGCATTGTTCAGTCTTTGTATAACTGCTTAATCTTATTACAGAGTCAAGTTTTTGTGGGATTTTTTTTGGGTTGGGAGGTGCAGGAAGCCAATAAATAATACTTGTCCTTTTCACTCTCAAATTTTGAACTTTTTTTTTCTTTCTTTTCAGCTTCTTCAGGTTGAATTTTTTTTTTTTTCCTCTCTTTTTCTTTTATTTCAAACTTTGGAACTATTTAATTGATGATACAAGAGTCAGGCATATGGAACTCAGAATGTTGCTTTAATTATTATAAGTTAAAGTCCTTGAGGAAAGTGACTTAACCTGTGGCCAAATGGCTCTGCTACTCATTTACTCTTTTTTTTTTTTTTTTTTTTTGAGACAGAGTCTCTCTCAGGCTGGAGTGCAGTGGTGCAATCTTGGCTCACTGCAACCTCCACCTCCCCACTGTTCAAACGATTCTTGTGCCCCAGCCTCCCGAGTAGCTGGGATTACAGGCATGTACCACCACTCAAGGTTAATTTTTGTATTTTTTTAAGTAGAGATGGAGGATGTTGGCCAGGCTGGTCTCGAACTCCTGACTACCTGCTTCAGCCTCCTGAAGGACTGGGATGACAGGTGTGAACCATGCCTGGCCTACTCATTTATTCTTGATGTCTCCAGGTCCCTCTAGAGGCAAAGCATTTTCATGGAAGCACTCAGCCTCAGTGTGGTATGGACATAGGCCAAAATGCATTCCCTCTCCAAAAGATAGATCCTAGTGAAATGAAGCATGACTTTCAAGGGAAGCAGGGTGGGGAGAAAAGCCAGGACTCCTTCCATGTGGAAGTATGCTAGCGGAAGGGGTTTTCTCGACATGTCTCTCTTGTTCAATCCTCTGCTCAAAAACCACTGAGTATCTTCTTGGTTCCTTTTTATTTCTGTATGTACTTCTCAGGTCTAGCCTGATAATAATACCCTAATACCCCTCTCCACTCCATCACCAACCATCCATCCACCTCCAACATGTGCTGGCTTGTTTGAACTACTTAAAAGTCTCTAAAACTGTCTTGGCTGCCCTGCCTCTTCACTCTACTTTGTAATCATTTACAGCATGCCTACTCTAGCCCAGGCCAGTTGCCTTCAAGGAGCTCATAGTCTAGGATAGATAAGAGCAAATATTTCAAGTACTTAATGATATGTATTGTGGTATAAGTGGGTGAGTTAGCAGCTCAGCTTGGAGTTGGAGTGTAGAGTTCAGGACTGCCCGAGATAGGGAAGCAGTTTAGCTGGGCCTGAGATTAGAAGAAGAATGCCAGGTGGATAGAATGAAATTGAAAAGAGACTCTGGCAGAGGAGGGTGTTCTAAATGATCATGATAGCGCATGCCAGGGTCAAAGCACTTAGGGGTCTGCAGTGGTTTAGTTTGTGTCAGGTGTATTGGACTGGAAAGGGCCTCAGGTGGTGCTGGTGGGGGATGTCAAGAGCCAGAACCTGGAGGATCTGCCTTGTTGCTCTGTGATGCAGTTTGACCTCCTAGTTGTGTAGGGAGCAGCAGAAGGGTCCCCACCATGTACATCATATGCATTTGAAAATTGAAAACTTCCTTAATTAATTCTTTTAAATGCACACACAAAGGGCCAGATGCACTGGCTCATACCTGTAATCCTAGCACTTTGGGAGGCCAAGGTGGGTGGATCACCTGAGGTCAGGAGTTTGAGACTAGCCTGGTCAACATGGCAAAAACCCATCTCTACTAAAAATAAAAAAAATTAGCTGGGCATGGTGGCACATGCCTATAATCCCAGCTGCTTGGGAGGCTGAGGCAGTGAGGATTGCTTGGACCCGGGGTTGGAAGTTGTGGTGCACACCTCTGTACTCCAGCCTCGGTGAAAGAGCGAAACTTGGTCTCAAATAAATAAATAAATAAATGCACACACACAGATGCAGAGGGATGCCACGTAGAGTGCCATGCACCTGCGGTCCCAGCACTTTGGGAGGCTGAGGTGCAAGAATTGGTTGAGCACGAGAGGTTGAGGCTGCAGTGAGCCATGACTGTACTACTGCACTACATCCTGGGTGACAGAATGACACAGTATCTTAAAAAGAAAAGAAAAATGCAAAGCGAATTTAACAGTGAACCTACAAATAACCCTAGCAGGTGTCAGGTCCACTTTGCTTTGTTTGTCCTGTTTTCAATTTGCTGAAATATTTATGTTAAAATTATATTATCTTTATTGGTATATAATATACATATTTTTGGGATACATGTGATATTTTTAATACATTAATTTGTAAAGATTAAATGATTGTAATTGGGAACTGCATCACCTTAAATATTTGTCTTGTCTTTATGCTAGAAACATTCTAATTATTCTCTTCTAACT